AAAATTTGTTAGAGTTAGTGTTCTCCTTCCATCATGTGGGTCTTGGGAATCAAACTCAGGCTACCAGGCTTGGTGGCAAGCACCTTTACCCTCTGCACCATCTCACCCACCCACAGTTTGGGGTCTTTCTAAATTACCACAAAAGCTTTAAGATCAGCTTGTCAGCTTGACTGGAGAGATGGCTCAGGGGTTAAGAGCAGGTATTCTCTTCTGGAGGACCGAGGTTCAGTTCCCAGCACCCATGCTGGGTGGCTCATATCAGCCTGGGGATCCAGTGTGGCCTTCTGGTCTCCAAGTGCCCAGGCACACCCATGGTATATACTCACAAATACACATAAATAAAAATTAAAAATACCTGCCAGGCAGGGTGGCACACACCTTTTATCCCAGCACTCAGGAGGCAGAGGAAGGCGGATCTCTGAGTTCCAGGTCAGCCTGGTCTACAGAGTGAGTTTCAGGACAGCTACGGCTTCATAGAGAACCTGTCTCAGAAAATAAAAAGTGAAAATAAAAGCACATATAAAAAGATCACCTTGTCACGATCTACAAATACATCTATTGTTTTGGAATCTGTTAAGGTGATGTTGAATTTGCAGGTCATCTTGAGGGGCCCTACTATTTTAACCTTATCACACCTGCTCACCTGTGATCACGGGATGCCTTCCTATTTATCTAGGTCTTCTGCAGCTTCTTTCAACAATGTTTCATTATTTTCACGGTATACATTTCATAAGGCTACTTTCTCCCTGTCAATTTTGTAGGGGGATGATTTCCTTGCCTTTTGTTTTTTTGTTTTTGTTTTTGTTTTTGCTTTTTCCAGGTCTCATGTTTAGAAGCACTGTTGGTTTTTTTCATATTGTCCTCATGTCCCGAAGCACTGCTGAGCTGGCTGTGTCCATCCTTTTGTTCAGATCCCGTATAAAATTCTGAAGGGGCACAGCCACATGGTGAGTTCCTGCCACTTCTGCTCGAACGACACGAGGCTCCTCAGCGCCTCCTATGACTGCTCCGTGAAGCTGTGGGTAGGTGGACAGGTGGCGGACTCCCTTGATGCTATGGCGTCTCACACATAAGGCGCCGCGCTGGAGAACTCTCCAGCACCGAGGCTCCCGACAAAAGCCCCCAGGGTTGCCAAGACAGATGAGCAAGTGCAAGACAGACAAGCCCACCCCAGTCCTCAGCAAGAGCCTAGTTTAGGGACAGGCGGCCTGTGGCTCTGACAACTACTTTGGAGTCACTGATTCATATTTTATTTTTCTTAGTTAAAATCTTATTATAGATACATTTGTTGTATATGTCTGGGTATTTTCCCTGCCTGTCTCATGTGTGCAGTACCTACTGAAGTCAGAAGGGGGCATTGGATTTCCTCCTGGAGCTGGAGTTGTGAGCCTCCATATGGGCGCTGGGAATGGAACCCAGGTTCCCTGGAACGGCAGACAGTGCTCTTAAACACTGAGCCATCTCTCCGGTCCCAAGTTTAATTTTTGTTTGAGGCAGGATTTTGTTAATGTCACTCAGGTTGGCTTTGAACTCTTGGTCCTCCTGCCTCAGCTTCCCACATGCAGGACCTGTGAAACCCCTCTCTTGGGTGAACTGTTACTTCTCTGAGTCTCCTTTGCGTCTGGAAAATTCAACCTTTGTATACTGATCTTGTATCCTACCGTTGTGCTAAACTGTTCTTGTCTACCGTGCTTTCTTTCATTTTCATTTTCTATTTTCATGCTTTATTTTTACGCGTGTGTGTGTGTGTGTGTGTGTGTGTGTGTGTGTGTGTGCCATGTGCACACAGGTGCTCTTGGAGACCAGACAGGGCACTGGGCTTTCTGGAACTGGAGTTAGAGGTGGTTGTGGCCTGCCCAGGGTGGGTGTTGGGAAGTGGCCTCAGGTGTTGCGGCAGAACAGAAGGTGCCCTTAAGCACGGAGCAATCTGTTTTCTGTGTCCTCTATAAAATTCCTATTGGGCTTAAGCACATCGTGAATTCCTGCCATTCCTGTGATATCCAGACCTTGGGTGCTCACAGAAGACAGATGGGGGTTCAGGCCTGGGACCCGAGAGAGGCGTGTGTGAGGAAGACCAGTGCCTGGGGTACACTGGCAGGCGAAGGGATAAAGTAGTTCAGGAAGGCTGCAGAGGGCCAGCCTCTAGACTGTTTCTAGCACTTCCTGTTTGTGTCCAGCAGGCCCGGACAGGTCTGTATGGCAGCGTTGCTAGAGAAGAGAGAGCAGGTGGTATTGGACGTCAAAGTCTTGGATGAAGATGACTGGGGGCTGGGGGCCACATGGGAGGACGCTCCGTTCTGGGGTTTGCGGTCTCGTGGTTTGAGTGGCGAAGAGGGCAGGGTGGAAGACTGTCGAGGATGGTTCAGATTCTGGTTTGGGTAACTGGACACGGTCGAGTGCCTGGTCCTACAAATGACCTCAGAGGAATATCTTGTCATCTGTGGAGGGCAAGACCAGGCAGATCAGGTCAGGGTTTGGGACCATCCCAGGTTAGCTCAGACCCCGTCCTGGGGACCCACCAGCTGTCTGACCCCGGGTGATTTATACGACCTCCCCAGGACCAGCTGTGTGCCGGGGCTTGCCTGTCCCAACTCCACCCCACTCCCGCCCTCTGATGCTGCCCTTTGGTCATCTTTGTCCTCAGATCCCAGGATGTCACCACTGGAAAAAACTGCAGCTCTCTTGGGGTCCCTTAAAGCTTTTTCTAGCCCTCAGTAGTCACAAGTGGCTCCCAAGGCAAGGGACAGGGGACTGACTGTCACTGTGTGCATTTGCTTCTCAGCCCTTCAGTTTTTTTCCTCTTGTCTCCATCTGTGGGTCACA